CAGTTTTCAATTTCATCAGGTTTAATCAAATTTAAATCATATCAAACAATAAAAGCAACATTTATTTACGCAATTACCTAATTAATATACACTGGCAAGTACGTTGCAAATTCGTCGCAAAACTTGCGAGGGATTAACGACCACATGATTTTGCATCCGTTTTGCTAGTGCACGTGTGCCTCACAATTTTCATTTAATTTGCGAGGAAAAATGTTCCTCGCAAAAATTGCGAGGGAATTGCAACGTTTTAAATTTGCGAGCCGCGATTTGCGAGGAACAGCTATATCTCGCAAATCCCTTGCTATAGTCCATTTGCGAGGGAATAGCGGGGAATATGTCCATCGCAAATGGACTGTTTTCTTGTAGTGATGGTGAGGAAGACGGAACGAGTGAAGAAGAAGATGACAGCGAGATATCTCCGGTTCAAATTGGTGATGAGGAAGTTAGACCGAATGATGAAAGAGTAAGGACGAGAGAAGAACTAACTCGGGAAGAAGTCCAAGCCAAACCGTGAGCGATCCCAACGACTCAATGGTAAGTACTTGGATTCGATTTAATAGACAGAACTAGCGAAACTAATTCGTTTTGGTTAGGAAGAGTATCGTGATGTCATTTGGAATTGAACAGACATTTTTGGGTTTGTAATACTAGTATAAATAGGTACAACTAGTGTGTTTTTGTAGTACTGGTAGAACTAGATAAAACTAGTTGGGTTTTATTTGTAATGCTGGTATAACTAGGTATAATTATTAGTCTTTTGAGAAATTTATGAGGAAAGTATAACAATAATTGATTGCTGATTCCCCAACATAGAGGATAAATAATAACGTCAAAGGGACTTGGTAATACTAGAGGATACTACTGATTCCTTAGACCCATCAAATGAGCATGCTGGTCCTTCAGACCCACCAGGCAGGTGAGTTACAAGGTTAAGGAAATATGTGGGGTGAAGACTATCTTTTTCTTATGGTGGTTGTTTGGATTGACAGTTATGTATTTGATTTCGTATTATTGAGATTATAAACGGGAAAAATGTCGAAAATGCGCCAACTTTCAAATTTGGGACGATTAAAGCATGAACTCTCAAACATCTCTTTAATCACAATGTTTCTGTTGACCTGTCTGAAAATAGCTAAGTTTTTGTTGACCTAGCCAAATTAGGCATCGCGTTAAGTCCCCATTAGAACAACGTTGACGGTGTTAACAAACCGTTAGAAGTCTCCGTTGGATCAAAACGATGTCGTTTCACCAGAAAATAAGATGGAAAAATGACATCTTCAAAGATTCAAACTGCTAACATGTTACACTAATAAGAGACACTCAACCATTGAGGTACAGAACATTTTAATGTTTTAACAAACATAACATGTATATATACTAAAAACTGGCAACATAAATTAGGTAAAAATATATGCAACTAATTTAAAATAACAAAATTAAAAACAAATTAATAACCAAACATATACAAATATTAAATATACTTACCTTAAATATATATTTCAAATTTTAAAATACTTAATTATATATATAAAGATATTATTCTATTTTGGAAAATTATTTTTTCCTAAATTATAAAAACCTAAACTTATGAAATAAAGAAAATTAAATATATGACCTAAAATTTATACAATCCTTCTCATATAATTATATAATTAATTTTATGTCATATATTTAATTTTTTTTATATGAGAAAGAATTTCGGAAGGAATAATTTTCCAAATATGGAACAAATCTTTATGCATAAAAAAATATTTGAAATTTTGATACATATATTTATGATAAGTATATTTAATATTTGTATTTTTGGTTATTATTATTTTTTAGTTTTGTTATTTTTAATTAATTGTATAATGTTATTTTTAGTATATATATATGTTCTATTTGATATAACATTAAAATGTTCTTGTAGCTCAATGGTTGAGTGTCTCTTATTAGTGTAAAAGGTCGGAAGTCGAATCTTTGAAGATGTCATTTTTCTTTCTTATTTTCTGGTGAAACGACGTCGTTTTGATCCAACGGAGACTTCTAACGGATTGTTAACATCGTCAGCGTCGTTCTAACAGGGACTTAACGCGATGCCTAATTTGGCTAGGTCAACGAAAACTTGTCTATTTTTAAACAGGTCATCATAAACTTTGTATTTAAAGAGATATTTCGAGAGTTCATGCTTTAATCGTCGCAAATTGGAAAGTTGGCGCATTTTCGACATTTTTCCCGATTATAAAACTATGTTGTCTATGTTTTGTTTTGAATTCGCACTACAGGTAATACTTGGTAAAACTGTGGTGTTTGCTTTTTTAATTTGAATTTGTACTACGAGTAATACTTGGCAAATCAACTAGAATCGAAAACATAGACAATCGAAATAAAACAAAAGCTTACCCGAAATCGAATGCTCGAAATGAAGAAAAGTGAAATGACTGTAGAAGATACTACGTCTGTGGAGCCATTCTTTCTAAGAGCGGTGGATGATATGAATTAGTTTTGGTTGTTATGTTTTTAATATTTCTTCATTGTTTACGTCCACATGACATTGTTTATCTGGATGAAGCGTCTTCATAAAGAACATACCATAGTCATTATATCTTCATCTTATGGTGGTTGTTTCAATTTGTACTACTGGTAGTACTAGGTGAAATTATGTTGTTAGTTTTGTTTTTGGATTTGTACTACTAGTATTACTAGGTAAAACTATGTTCCACGTCAAATTACACATGTGCGAGAAGACTTTGTTTTCTCATTTCACACCTACACGTAATACTATGTTTGATTTTATGTCTTGTTAAACTACGATGGAATACTGATAATACTAGTTATACTAGGAATAATAGCAATACTGATAAAAGTAGTAATACTAGGAATAATTGGAGGAAATATAAAATTTGGGGAAAATTTCAAATTTTTGAATTTGCGGGAAATTTTATCCACGTGTGCTCCGTTTTTTTCCACTAGTGCGCAACCTTTTTTAAATATAGTTATACCCAAGATAGTAGTTGTATCAAAGTTCCACATACTTTTACTTTTGCTGTTTTTCATTTAAATCAGTATTACGTACCCTTGAAATTCGTTTTTCTAGTTGTACAATTGATTGAAATCGATACACATAGAATTCTGAGTGTTTTCTCTATTCATATGTTAAAAAAATAAAATTTGGTAAATTTTTCATCCTAAGTTGGTTATTAAACACAAAGTGAGTTTAAAAGTATAAGGGATAAAGTTATACTACTTCTACCAGTACTACCCAATTACCACATAAACAAATCATAGTATTATATAACGGAAAACCAATGTTACATAGTTGTCCAAGTCGTAAATATTTTACAAAACACTGTAGATAAAATCAAACACTACAATTGTTAAATAACAACAATTGACATCATTGCCTCAGTCGCCTTTTGTTTTGCGCCCTTGGACGCCTTTCTCCAACCGATGAAAACCTTTTTACTTTACTTCTTCCCTTCTTTTTTTTTTGCGAGGCGGAGGTACAATTTCACCCTCTTGAATAGAATCATCCTCTTCTATTGCTTCATGTTGTCGTTTTCTTTTTTCCTTGTCTACGTAGAAATTAATGGCATTATCTCTGATTTCATCCTCATTTGAATCCAATTCCGCATAGTTCTTACCAACAGAACTTTTATCCACTCTCGACAGTTGCTCCGGCAATTCTGGTTTAGTGATGACCTCCACATACAAAACATATCTACGGTTATTTTCAACGGAAGTTATATAAACACTGACATCCTCATCATCACAAATGTTCATCTCTTCCTCTGGTCCCAACAGTAGTGCATTGTACCTCATTTGCAATTTAATCTTACTTTCATCTAACCCAAGCTTCGTGTATATTCTAGCTTCTAACATGGAGAGAGTTATCTTCTCCCATGATGTCTTCATCATCAAACTATACATGCAACCTTCACATTTAAAATATATGATCACGTTCTCCTTCATTGTATCCTGCCAAAACAATACAAAAACTCTGTTAGTAATACTACTTTTACTAGTTTTACTACATTTGTAGTAATACTAGTGTAACTCGTCATACTACATATATCAGTAGTACTAATCTAACTAGTCATACTACATATATCAGTTTTAATAGTTTCAGGTTCAATTCTACCTAGTTCTACTTCCGCGACAAGAACACAAATTGGATGGTTTCAGGTTCAAATCTACAATTCACTACGATTCAGCAACTGAAATCCGTTTGTTACCCATTTACAGACCTATTCGACCCAGAAACTATGCATAAACTTCCAATGTGGATACCCAAACACAAAAAATCTAAATCTGATTGGATCCGATCCCCAATATTTGTAAATCCAAAACTTCAAAAGGAAAGCTCTATGGAGCTCAAGGAATATACTTGTACTTTCTATCTCGACGCAGCTCGCCGGAGGGGAGGAAACGACAACAATGAAGACTGAAATCGAGTCTGCAATGGAAGAGGTGAGGTGGGTGAGCTCGTTTTCTGAAACGAGGATCTTCCTCTCCAGTTTTCTCAAATGAAACCCTTGTCACACATCAAGCAGTTGTTATCGTATATAGCTACATTCACATGGGCAAGAGACAAGAGGCCCAAGAATAAATTATGACCTTTAATGGGCTTTCAGTTTGGCCCATGATGATTCCGTGTCTCCGAAAAATATAGAGTCGGAGAAACAAGAGCACAGCAGCTGGATAGAAAAGAAATCGTAGATCATGGCTAAACTCTTTAAAATACTGATCCACTCATTTCGGTAATCTCGTTCGTGGTTCTGTTCACTTACCTGAGAGCTACACCGTCAAAATCCAACTCAGCCAAAGCAAGAAGCAAGAAGAAGAGGTAAGTAATCAAATGGTTATGAAGCCGAGAAAGATGAATTGTTGGGCAGTTAAAACACAGTTTCCGAACTTGTAAGATTTATACAACACTTCAGTGTTTTTAAAGTGCACAGGACTGTTTCAGAATTCTTTGGTTTTGCACAATACATCGACTCTGACCAATACTCAGATCCATCCTTTTCAGGCTCCGGTCTGAGTACTTGTATTTTAACCAGCCCATGACCTGACTTGGAAGTGTCTGATAAAATTTTCCAGAAGATAAATATGTCTGGTACCCCGAGATTATTCAGTCTTGGTTCATATTGTGGAAGATTGTTTTGCAGTACAAGGAAAGGATGAATCGGGTCATAGACAGAAACTACGCAAATGAATCTATATTCCGTAAAAATGCTAGCGTAAGAGACCCTTTGTTCTTCGTCATTGTTTAAGCCTTTGTTTCAGCAGGAGTGATGGCAGCTGCGGGAGCAACACCACCAGTGGTTGGACTGAAAGAAAAGAGAGTTTCATTAGCGGTTGAGAAGGAGAACCTCTGAAACAGAATAGCTGCAAAAGAAGGGACTTACAGGCCAACAAAGACTTTGAAAGCATCGTAGATACCCCACTGCGCTCCGGTCAATGTTCCTATCATCACAATTCGTAGAGGCAGCCCTCTTGTGAATAGACCCAACAGCCCTATCTTCTTCACCGCCTGTTGAAAGGATCATGGTTAGAACACTAGGTGGTAATATCAAAAGTTGCATTTTATTACAGAAAGAAACAGAGAGACTATAGCACAGAACAAGCCAGCAACGTAACCTCCTGCGAAACTCACCCCTAGTTGTAGACCCTTGCTGCATTGGTCCTTTGGCCTCGGAATTGCATACTTGTAGATCATCTCCACAATGGTCTCAAAAGAAGCAAACTTCATCATTGTGTCTGTTACAAAGGTAGTTTTTCTTATCACATTTTGCAACTAAAAGAGCCAATAAAGCATTTTATGAGGCCAAATCATACTATGCGAAAATTGCAAAGCTGAGGCCACAACTTACAAGGAATCTGACGCCCCAAAGTGGACCAATTCCCTTGTACAAACTGAAAGAAGAAGAAAAGAAAAAGAAATCAGGCACAATGGCTAGTCTTAAGACGAGTGAAGTAAATGGTAACACAAAAGCTTACCCTCCAAGACCTTCAGACTTGATAAACTTGGGAAATCCATAAGACATTCCCCTGGCAAATCCAGGCTGTGTCTGAACATGGACCTTGACAGCTTCAAAAAGGCAAAAGGACACTTGTGAAGCAGTCTCAGAACACCCGACTGGTTACATCGCTGCCTCTTCGCGAAAATTCTAGGTGCAATCTGCAAGGTCTGAAAGTAATAGTTTGATGTTATGATTCTTGTCAGACTGGTATTAGGAAACAAAACTCCCGTTCTCCTTTTGTAACGTAATGTAATTTGATGGGAGATCTATTGGAAAATCAATAAGTTTTCCTATTTGAATATATGATATAGGACTGCTACAACATCAGTTTAAGGTTACAAAATCTAAATCCTAAGACCAAAGAAAAAAAATCGAAAAAATAATGAATGAAGCAGACCTACTAGAACTTTGTTCTATATAATGTCGAGTCACCAGTAATCACCACAAGAACAGACCCCCTCACTAAAGTGGTGGAATCTGCTTGAATCCCTTACAGTTATCACCCTCTTTACAATCTTCGATATTAGTTTTATTGCAGCATGGCAATCCCTGCAGGCCCTCAAGTTCTTCATCACAACAATCGGACACCCTTCTGGTGTACTGATCAGAGCAAATGCAACAGCTAAACGTTCACTGTGGTATTTAAGCGACTCAATCTTCATCTGCTCATCTATGTCTTGAACTACCGAACTCGTGTCAGGCTTGTACCCTTCTCTCTCAATCTCAGTTGTCAATTCATTGATCTTTTTCACGATCTCATCTCCGTTTGGGTGTGTTTGATCATTTGATGAGAACACATGGATCTTGTGGTTAACTTCAACCCAGCTATAAGCCGGAACCTTTTTGATTCCGCGTTCGCGCATTGCTTTCTTCACATGCCTAACATTTTCCCATTTCCCAGCCGCTGCATAGATGTTTGACATGCTTACATAAGCAGCGGCGTCCCTGAGCTTCTCCATACTGAAGAGCTGCTCTGCTGCTCTCTCAGCAAGGCTTTGATTCTTGTAAATCCGACATGCGTTCAAAACTGACGACCACATAATTTCATCTGGCTCAAAGGGCATTTCGTCCATCAACTTCTCTGCTTCTGCAAATCTTCCGTTTCTACCAAGCAAATCCAGCATGCATGCATAATGTTTTTTTTTTGGAGTTATCCCATAGATTGGAGACATTGCCTGGAAAAATTCTGTTCCTTGTTCAACAAATCCACAGTGACTACATGCAATCAAGACGCCTAGGATGCTGACTGAATCTGGCTGGAGACCAGATTGAATCATCTTTGTAAATGCACCAATAGCTGCTTCTCCATCTCCGTTATCAGCGTATGCAGAAATCAAAGCATTCCAGGAAACTGCATTTCTATCGGGCATCTCTTCGAATACTTGAACTGCATCTTTGATAGAACCACATTTGGCGTACATATCAACCAGGCCACTTCCGGAGAAGACATTTTCCAAGTTCCCTGATCTGATTATGAATGCATGGAGTTGTTTCCCGAGCAACAGAGAAGCAAAACCAGCGGAAGCTTTCAATACAGTAGCAAAAGTTGATTGGTCTGCTCGTAAATTTGCTCCTCGCATCTTGGTGAACAACTTAAGCCCAGCTCCATGAAGCCCTTTCTGAACGTAACCTGAGATCAAGGCAGTCCAGGAAACGGTGCTCCGTTGTGATAAACTCTTGAATATCAACTCAGCTTCGTCGAACATTTCGCATTTTGCATACATATCTACTAAAGAATTCCCAACATGGAGGATTGAATCAGCCGTTGCCACGATGGCCTGGCAGTGCACTTGTCGACCCACCTGCAAGGATGACAAGTTAGCTGCGATGCTCAGCATCGTAGCGAAAGGGAAGTTTCTTCGATCAAACCCCATGCACTGCATTTCTCTAAACAAGTTGAGCGATTCCTCGTACTGCTCAGCCTGTGAATAGCTTGAGATGACCACATTGTAAGAAACAAAATCCAACTCAGGCATTTCATTAAAAAGATTCCTCGTTTCAAGAACACGGTCATGTTTGGAGTAGAAATGAAGAATTTGATTCCCAACAGAAGCATCCCTGGAAAAGCCGGTAGTAACTGACAGACCATGGAGTTGCTGACCAAGAGCAAAATCGTGTAACCCAACAACAGCCTTGAGAACCCCAGAAAAAGTGAAATCTGAAGGCTTGTGACCAGACTGCCGCATTTTAAGAAAGAGATGAATCGCCTCCGTGTACAAACCATCCTTCTCATACCCTGTGATAAGGGTGTTGAATGTGACAGAGTCTTTATCTAGAATCTCCTCGAACAACACACAGGCTAAATCGAGTCGCCTTACCTCACAGTAAGACTTAAGCAGAACATTGCAGACAGTGAGAAAGAGGTTGGTATCAAAGCCTAACTTGACGGCAAAAGCATGAACTTGACCGACCGCGTTCTGGGGAACAGCGTCATTGCAGCCTGGTAAAAGCGTAGTAAAGGTGACGTAATCGGGAAGGGTACAAGACCTGCACATTTGACGGAAAAGCTTGAAAGCTTCATCGAAGTGGTTGTTGCCGGCGTACCAGCCCATCAAGATAGTCCAAGTGACAACAGTTCTATCGGGCATTGCGTCGAAAAGGTGTCGGGCGCTAGAAAGATCACCCATCTTCACGTACCCGGAAATCATGGTATTGGTGGAGACAGTGTTCTTGTGAGGCATTTCGTCGTACACCTTGAGTGCAGCAGAAACTTGACCTCTCCTGAGTAGGTCCTCCACGGTGAAATTGGAGCGACACGTATCTGTGTTGAAGCCAGTTTTAATGATGCGAGCATCAACACGTCGTGTCGCCGGTGGCGGTTGTCGGAGCTGCCGTAAAGTGGCAAGAGTTCTTGAGCGGACTTCATTAGCACTGCAATAAAGTTTCATAAGTCTCTTTTTTTCTTTTTTGAAGAAAGACTTTCAATTTAAATTGCAGAAGAAATTTAAATTGCAATAAAATTATTTTTTTTTTCTTTTATTGCAATAAAATTATTATTATTATTATTATTAGGTTATGAAACCCGCGATATCGCGGGGAAACTCATTTTCAACAAATATATTTTATTACGTTTATGTATTAAATTATTATTATAATATATTCAAATAATTGAATTATTATATACAATTAACTATGTCTTAAAGTTATATCGTAAATATTTTCTAAAGATATTAAACAAAAATTATGAATAAAATGTAAAAAAAAAAATTATGATTAAAAAACACTTTTGAAACATTTTTTGTGAATATAAAATTATTTATAAGTGAAAAAATAACTAACGAAGAGAATATAATATAGAGAGGAAAAATTATAGAGGGTCAAAACCAAAAAGATATAAAAACACAACCAGAAAAATAACCGTCAACACAAAAAGTACCCGTCAATATTTTAATGAAGAGTTGCGATAAAAAGACATAACCGAGAAAAAATAACTGTCGATATTTTAACGGAAAGTTGCGATAAAAACACAACCGAGAAAAAATAACCGTCAAAATTTTAACGAAAAGTTTCGATAAAAAGACACATCAAAAAAAGTAAATGTCAACATTTTTACGAAAAGTTATGATAAAAGACACATCAGAAAAAATAACTGTCAACGAAAAATGTAACCATAAATATTTTAACGAAGAATTGCGATAAAAAGACACAACCAAGAAAATATAACAGTCAATATTTAAACAAAAAATTGCGATAAAAAGACATAAACGAAAAAAAATAGCCGTCAATATTTTAACGAAGAGTTGCGATAAAAAGACACAACCAAAAAATAACAGTTAATATTTTAACGGAAATTTGCGATAGAAAGACACAACCAAGAAAAAAAGACCGTCGATATTTTAACGGAAAGATACGATAAAAAGACAAAAACAAAAAAAAGAAACCGTCAATATTTTAACTGAAAGTTACGATAAAAAGACACAACCGAAAAAATAACCATCAATGAAAAATTGTAACCGTAAATATTTTAACAAAGAGCTAGGACAAAAAGATACAACCGAGAAAAAATAACCGTTAATATTTTAACGAAAAGTTGCGATAAAAAGACACAAATGAGAAAAGTAATGTTAATATTTTAACGGAAAATTACGATAAAAAGTCACAACCAAAAAAATAATCGTCAACAAAAAAAAGAACCGTCAATATTTTAACGAAGAGTTTCGATAAAAAGACACAACCGAGAAAAAATAACCGTCAAACTTTTAACGGAAAGTTGCGATAGAAAGACACAAACAAAAAAAATGACCGTAAACTTTTTAACAGAAAGTTACGATAAAAAGACACAACCTAAAAAATAATTGTCAACGAAAAAAGTAACCGTCAATATTTTAACGAAGAGTTGCGATAAAAAGATACAACCGAGAAAAAATAACTGTCAATATTTTAGCAAAAAATTGCGATAAAAAGACACAACCGAGAAAAAAATAATCGTCAATATTTTAACAGACAAAAAAGACACAATCGAGAAAAAAATATCGTCAATATTTTAACAAAAAGTTATGATAAAAAACAGAAACGAAAAAAAGTAACCGTCAATATTTTAACGGAAAGTAAAGAGAAAAAAACACAACCAAAAAATAACCGTCAACGAAAAAAGTAACCGTTAATATTTTAACGAAAAGTTGCAAAAAAAGACACAACCGAAAAATAACCGTCAACTAAAAAATTAACCGTCAATATTTTAACGAAGAGTTGCGATAAAAAAGACACAACCGAGAAAAATAACCGTTAACATTTTAACGGAAAGTTGCGATAAAAAGACACAACCGAGAAAAAATAACCGTCAATATTTTAACGGAAAGCTACGATAAAAAGACACAAACGAATAAAGTAACAACCAATATTTTAACAGAAAGTTGCAATAAAAAAACACAATCGAAAAAAAGACGTCAATATTTTAATGAAGAATTGCGATAAAACTTCGTAGTATTACTAACTATACAAAAAATGCAGTGAAATTTTATAATGGAAAGACGTAACTTTAAATGAATAAATGCAACTACAAAGATATAACTGTAAACTGAAAAGATATGACTGTAATTGAACAAATATAACAGTAAATAATTCAACGAAAATTCAAAGAGAATATTTAATAGAAAGACATAACCGTAAAAAATAACCGATTCAAACGAAAGATTACGATAAAAAGACGCAACCGTTCAGAAGCCAAAAAGAAG